CCTACTCCCCCTCTCTGCTCACCCCCAGCCCCGCCTCTCTTCCCCCGCCCCACTCCCCAGCCCCTCCCCTTCACCGCTCTCCTACCCCACTCCCCCTCTCCTCTCCCCGCCTGCTTTCCTCTTGCCTCACTCCCCCAGCCCCGCCCCTCCCCACTCCCCCGCCCTTCTCTCCCCGCTCCTGGCCCCCCCACCCCGGCGCAGTGGGAACCGATCTCCGCCCCTCCCCGGGGAGCTGGCGTCACAGCTGCCCCAGCCAAGCCGGGCGGGGTGGGCACATCTGGAAGCCATCGGGTTTGTCTCTCCCCTCTTCCCCCCTCCCCCAATTTCCCAGCCTCCTGGCGCGGCGCTGGAATCCGAGGCGGCCCAGCTGCGCCGCGGCTGCTGGCTCCCGCCTGATCTGCGCAGCGAGCTAGAGCCGGGCCAGGGAGAGGAGGGGGTGGCGGTCCCGGGCCAGTCCCCCACGGGCTTCTAGGGGACAGGGCGGGGCACGAATCGGGGGGTGCTGGGAGGGCGGGGCAGGAGGGAGTTGGCGGGGGCTGCGGGGCAGAAGAAGAATCAGGGAAGAATGGGCATGCGGAAGTTGTTTCCCCCCTACCAATACCCCCCCCATAACACTATGCCCCCTCCACAAACCTGCGTTTTCCTACTGTGCCAACCCCCTCGACACTGCATCCACCCTCTGCCTCCCCCCCATGCCAATACTCCCCACACCCCATAATACTGTGCCCCTTCACCCACATCCTACCTCCCCCAGGCCAATACCCCTTATATACCATCCACACGACAACCCTGCCTTCCCTCCACTGTGCCAGTACCCCCCACACTTCACCATCCCTCCCCCACACACTGCCTCCCCATGCCAATACCCCCATGTCCCATCCACACACAGCCCCCTTCCCCACACCCTGCCTCCCCCCATGTCAATATCCCCTTCCCACTCCTCCCTCTTCCTCATGCCCACTTCTCTTGTGCCCCCTGATGTTCTCCTGCTTCTTCCCGACACTGCTGCAGCCTCCTGGGCATGGCCCTTGCCTCCCTCACACACCACGCCCTGCATCACCAGACCTTCCAGCTGAGTGAGGATTCCTAGTGCTATCACCACTGGCCAGCAGGCAGCATCCCTCCCCTACCTCCTGGTCCCCTGAGCTTTGCTCTGAGACCCCGCACAGTGCTCTCCCTTCGGTGGGTAAGAGATCCCAGCTTGTGCCAAGCCAGACTGAACATAGGCAGGATCTGAACATCTCCAGCTCTCCTGCCTGCTGGGGGGCAAGTGGTTCAGTGGGCAGGCGCTGGGGGAGGCAAGGATGGTGATGGAGGGATGCTCCCCTGGTGATCTGTATCCCCAACCTGCCTCTCCCACTCCTGGGGAATCCTCCTGCACCCCCAAAGTGACATACCCCCAACACCATTGCAGACAACCACACAGATCAGGCCAGGCCCCTGGGGGCTCTGCGGAGATAACTGAACCATTACACAGCGATTCAATTACAGCACGGGTGGTCCCCAGGCGAGGAATCAAGTGGAAGAGGTTTTAAGAGCTGTTTGAGCCCCGGGGAGAATTAAGCTGCTTCCAGATGAGTCCTGGGAGGAAGGTGAGTCTCAGGGGCCACCAAAGGAGAAGGCTCAGGGAGGAGGTCAAGTAGAGGGATTGAAGAGCCGGCTACAGGATTCATGGGATAGTCATAGAACTTAGAAGGGTCTACAGTGATCATCTGTAACACTGGCCATAGGACTTCCCTGACCAATTCCCTGACCAACTAGAGCAGAGCTTTTAGGAAAACGTCCCCTCTTGATAGAAAATTTGCCAGTACTGGAGAATCTACCACAAGACTTGATAAGTTGGTCCAATGGTTAATTCCCCTCGTTGTTAAAAATGTCCACCTTATTTCCAGTCTGAATTTGTTTAGCTTCAGCCTTGGCTCGTTTGATCTTTGTCTGCTAGACTGAAGAGCCAGTCATCAAATACTTACTAAAATAACAGGTAGCTCCACAGAGGGGGTTGAGAACAGGACCAACCATGTAGACCATGTCTACAGCCAATCATGGACCCAAAGGAGAAGTCCAAGGACAGGGGAGCCGTGGCTGGGGTTCTGTGTAGATGCAAGGAGGTGGATGGTGGCTTCTGGCCACACTGGGACATGGAGAAGGGAACCTAATCATCAAGGTGAGAGGAGATCCCTGGGGGAGGAGCCTCAATAGAGATAGAGTTCACAGGCAGAATAGCAAGCAAAGGAGACTTGGGCCATGTCTACACTACAGACATTACAGCAGCACAGTTAAGGTGCTGCAGCTATGCCGCTGTAACGCTGTAGTAGATACATGCTACAGCGACGGACAAGGGTTTCCCATCACTGTAGCAACACCACCTCCCTGAGCGACAGTAGCTAGTCCGATAGAGCATTCATCTGTCCACTACACGTGGATTATTCACGCCTCTGAGTGCAGAAAGTATGTCAGCCTAAGGCTAGGTCTATATACACTACACACTTACTTCAGTATAACTACGTCACTCAAGGGTGTGAAAAATCCACACCCTGAGTGAGGTAGTTATACCGACCTAACCCTCAGTGTAGGGAGCGCTGTGTTGGCGGGAAAGCTTCTCCTGCCAACGGAGCTACCAACCTCTCTCCCGTCGGCTTCACCACAAGCGCTACAGCGATGCTGATGCAAGTTTTTAGTGTAGATTTTAAGTGGAGACCAGGCCTTGGGATGGAGGACAGTTCAGGCAGAAGGAGGCCAAGGTTACCAGCAGAGGGTAGGCTGAAGCAGGGGAGGGAATACCCAAGGGTGCCAGGCCTCTGAGGCAGGTCTTCGCCGGGACACCTCCATGTTCATATGGGAAATGTTCAAACCAAGCCAGGAGCTCTCTTAGGACAGGCAGAGGGAGTGAGCAGGGAGGAGTCCAAAGCTACACGGTCACAGCTAAAGGTGGTGCACAGGAGACCAAGGGTTTGTCTACAGTACAAAATTAGGTCTACTTCAATTAGGTCGACCTACAGCCACCACAGCAATTAAATCAGCTGTTGGTGTCCACACTGCCCTCCTTCTGCTGGTGGTACACATCCTCATCAGGAGCGCTTGCACCGACTGAAGTGGCTCATTGTGGAGCACTGACAGCAACACAGGGCTCACAAAATGTGAAATAATTGCATCTGGTTGGCTCTCTGCTGTGAAATTGAGCCCCCTGGCTCAGAGTTGGGGCCCCAGGGCAGAGGGCAGTTCCAGCTGTGAGCCCCATGCTGGGATGACAGCTCAGGCTGTCAATGCTGGGTGGTGGTGGGGACTCCAGCTGTGCATCCCGTGCCCATCTTTCAGCTCAGGCTGTCAGCACCGGGAATGGGGGTGGGGGACTCCAGTTGTCAGCCCCACGCAGGGCTGACAGCCAACAGGTGACGTAAGTAACGCAGCGTCTACACAGACACTGCATCGCCCTAAGCACTACTCCTCCACCAGAGGTGGAGTTATTAAGTCGGTGTAGTGGGGACTTACATCAGCAGGAGCCCCATTGTAGTGTAGACACTGGCAGAGTTAGGTTGACCTAACTGTGTAGTGCAGACCAGGCCCAAGCCTGGGGGTGCAAAGTGAAAAGAGCAAGAGGGCCAAGCCCTGCATGGCTCCAGGGAGCAGCACAGTGCAATGGACAGGACCAAGCCCTTGCTCGCAGGGACTCCGACACCTGCAGAGCTAGGGGACAGCCCAGCTAACCAGGTGCTCAGATTCAGGAGGGTGAAAAGTGAAGCTGAGCCTTCACCTTCCCCCTCCAGCAGGAAGGAGAAGCTGATTAGCTACTTTGCAGAGAGTGGCTATGATCCATTGTAGCCTGAGGGAAACCAGTCCAGGGTGCTGCAGAAGGGAGGGAACTGGGAAGGGAAGGGGAGGGGAAGGGTGGCAGGGAGCTGTGCAGATGGAGAACGCTGGGGAGGAGAAGGGGGTCAGCAGCTGCAGTGGGGAGGCTGGGATCAAGGTGCTAGACAAACACGGCCAGGCAGGGCTGGAGGAAGCAGGGCATGTCCAGCTGTAGGCAGGCAGGGGGTGGATGCAGGGAGGGGTGGTCAGGAAAGAATGCATTGCTGATGAGGGCACAGGCAGGGCTTCAAGTGGGAGGGTAGGGGGGAGGGGTGCACCCCTGACAGAAATCTGGGGCCGAGTGGCTGAGGGTGGCACTGTGAGCCCTGCCTGACCAGACCGGGTGCTCCCAGAGACACAAACACACACAGCCCTTTGCAGGCAACTCTATGAGCTGGCCCAGGGCCTGGCTCTGGCAAGGGCCCAAAGGGCATGGCCAAGCGATGGGAGGAGCCGTGGAGGAGATGCAGGTCCAGGGCAGGCAGAGGCCGAGGCCACAGGCCAGGGAGGGGAAGCTGGGATCAGCCCCAGGGTGCAGCTGGGGATCAGTGACGCTAGTGAGGGGCACCCTGGGGACGCTGCACTGAGACCCCCCAGTGACACACTGTGTCCGGCAGGGGAACCCC